TCTGCTGTCTGACAGGAACATTTGTTTTCCTTGTTTTCACGTTAGTCCTCATTCCATCCTTTTCTGACATCCTAATTAATTTGTCTCCGCATCGAGGCTTTGATTTATTAATTTGGTTTTGCGCTCTTCAGATATCTGCAGATACTTAGGAGACTTCTTGCTCTCAACCTGGTTTCTTAGGCAAGCGCAGGAGTATTTTGCCATCTTGTTTGTCATCTTTTGCAGTCAGTCTGGATGTCTCCACCATCCCAAAGCCACACCGTGGTCCTCCTTGCTCAGTAGTTTGCTGATTTGCATGTCAGGTCCAAATGGATTTGCTTTTGCCTTGTCACTGAAGAGCAAGTGTCAGGCCTTGGTTTTCTGGGGCGACCTCCTCCAAAATTAAAAAAAATCCAAAATATGCAGAGAAAGGGGGAGTTCTGCAGAGCCTCACTTGCAACTGCTTTGCCTGTTCATGAAACTACTTAAACCTGTACAAGGATAGAAGAGCTCAGGGCACAGGACAGCAAAGGACAGCTAATTCTTTGCATGTCCACAACAGCTTCAGCCTGTTTTGATATCCAAGAGCTTAATGCAGAGCTCTTGAGGTAGGAAAACACATGAATTTGGTGGTGTACAGAGGAGATCAGTCACACCAACCTCTCCTTCTGTCTCTTAAGGAGGAGACCAGCTATCCAGAGGATGATTAAGAAAAGATATAACGTGACTGAGGGCACCGCTCCATCCCTCCATGGGAAAACACTTCCCTTTTGTTCCCCCTAGTAATGATCATTCTTGACATCTACACGGCAGGCTGACTCCTCACAGCCAGCCCGTAAAGCGTGTTTCACACCACGGTGGGCACAAAAGTCTCTGAAATATTTGGTTCTGCTTGGCTACGGCCATCACTGTTAATGTGTAGCATTTCTTCCAGGAGCTGGAGGAGGAAGCTTTACCTACGAAGAACAGCAGGGCCTCATCTTCCCTCACTAGGATCTATCCTGGTACCCCTATGCCCTCCCCAGGAAGGTGCGTTTGAGCAAAGCACAGCCTTTTCCTGCATGTGAAGCAAGGTGAAACCAGGTTAGCAGCAAATACCAGCTGCTCTGGGCTTGTTTCAGCAATTTTAGCTTTCCTAGCTTTCCTCTAGGTACTTCAAAGTAGATGCTCCTGAGCATGGAGTGATTCTGTCTGTCCAATCTCCTATCCCAATTTAATTTCTCTATAGCAATTGATACTTTAAAAACTTGTGCTCAATGCTCTTATGATTTTGTGGGCATAGAAATCAACCATTGTAGGAATTAGTTGAGCGGTAAAATAATAGGAAATTTATTAATAGGTGAAATATTCACAAGCAGTTTAATATCCTCATTATTAATTCAACATACAACCTCATGTAGATCCCTGCGGTGGAAACTTTGCTGTTAGTGTGTAGAAGAGCGCTGTCTCTAAGGCTTGCTGTGAGGTTTAATGCCTCCCCCATGCTTTACTGTATATCATTACAGGAAACACTTCAGAATATTTGTTGTTAAAAAACACCAGGGTTTTCCTGCCAGTTCTGCATGAAAATCAGTTTTAGGTTTGCTCTTAGATTTGCAAGAATTTGTGAGCTGAAGGAGGGGAGTAAAGGCCAAAAGCAAACGGGAGTTACCTGTGGTTGGTACCTGTGGTTGGTACCTGTGGTTAGTAAGGCTGCTAAGCTTGCTACTTCCTTTTAAGACTTTGAGAGCATCTTATTTTGGTATCCTTCACTTCTCACTTGAGCTGCCTGATGTGACTGACACAGCCAGTGTCTGGATCCAGGAACAGCACCATCATCAACAGGGCACAGTCCCACAGGGTCTGAGCACAGCGAGCAGAGCCAGGGGCTGTTGGTGGGGTTCATTGACAGCTCCACCAAGCTATGAACCAGCTCTGGGGGCCATCCAGGGGGGTGGGTGAGAAACAAAGCCAGGACATGGGTCCAGGATCCATTTAGAAGATGTAGCTAAAGACAGGATCGAAGTGACCTGCAGCATAGATCCAAGGTCCATAGATCTCCATCTAGGGGGCAGAGCTAGGACATAACTCAGGCAGGAACTGAAGGGCCAGTGCTGAGCTTAAATGGGGCCCATGGGCAGAGGGTGTGGGTCCCTGGTGGGGCTGATCAGGGCAGTTACAGCCTCCTGAGGCCCTCCTGGCCCTGAGAGACCCAGCACCTCTGGTGCCTCAGTGTGTGACCTGCTCTTTCATTAGGCTGCTGGTGGAAGGAACCAGAAGCACTTTTATCTCTAGGCAAAAACCAGGTGAGAGGTGGGCTCTGAATCTCGAGATTCCCCGGTCATGCAGGAGGAAGGGCTGTTCCTTAGGGCACGGCTATTTCAGGTAGGTGCTTGCAGGCAGCTCTCCCTGTTAAAGCTGTTCCTTTCCTCCTTGCCCAGGAGCTCAAGGCTGCCTTTTTGCACACTGTCAGTGCCTTCCCATTCTGTTGTGAGCCTGGAAGGAAGAAAGCTAATTCCTAATAACTGAAACAAGCTCCCTAGCCTCATGTGCTGCTCTTTCCCCTCACCCCACCTAATCCGCTTCCCCTCCCGACAACACAGCCCACCTCTGACTGCAGTTTCACCCGTGCTTGCTTTTCTCCCATGCTCTCAGCTGGGAGCATAAGGACCTCTCTAAGTATGTCTGTGCCACACCAGTAGCAATGCTGGGGCTGGGGAGCTGTAAAGGCTTCATGGCCAACCTCAGTGCGGTTCCTAATCGGCAGCAAAATGCACAGTACAGCTGGAATTATCCCCCTGTACTCGGCACTGGTGAGGCCGCACCTCGAGTGCTGTGTTCAGTTGTGGGCCCCTCACTAGAAGAAGGATGTTGAGATTCTGGAGCGTGTTCAGAGCAGAGCCACAAGGATGGGGAGGGCTCTGGAGAACAATCCTGATGAGGAGCGGCTGAGGGAACTGGGCTTGTTTAGCCTGGAGAAGAGAAGGCTGAGGGGAGACCTCATCACCACCTCCAACTGCCTCAAGGGAGGTTGTGGAGAGGTGGGTGCTGGTCTCTTCTCCCAGGTGATGGGGGATAGAACAAGGGGAAACGGCACCAAGCTGTGCCAAGGGAGGTTCAGGTTAGAGCTAAGGAGGAAGTTCTTTACTGAGAGGGTCGTCAGAAGCTGGCACAGGCTGCCCAGGGAGGTGGTGGAGTCACCATCCCTGGATGTGTTTAAAGAGCGGGTAGACGAGGTACTTAAGGATATGGTTTAGGGGGTAGACAGGAACGGTTGGACGTGATGGTCTCAGAGGGCTTTTCCAACCGAGCGATTCTGTGAGTCTGTGATTCTGTGAAACCTCTGTTGTGTAAAGCACAATATCCTTGTTACAGACCTGCCAGCCCTTCTGCTGCCTTCTGTGCCTGCGTGTGCTGCTCAGCACTCGTTAACAGTGCAGCCGGCTTTGAAAAGGCAGCAGCGTCTCCCCACTCCTGCAGTTGCATCCATTCAGAGTTTATGACCTGTTTATTTTTTTCCCCTGCGTGCTGCATTCTGTGATTTAGGAAGAAGGAGGGCTGATGAGACTCGACTTCTCAGAAAGATCTACCTTCAATTTTCTTATGCAGTTTTAATGAATTTTCAGTCTCCCATTATATTTATCAAGTGTCCTGTTGTTAACGTGACAGGGCTGACCAGTACAGCAAGCAAGGTGCTCACCGTAGTGCAGTTCAGTGATGTGATGCTTCCCATGGCAGTAGTTGGATGTGTGCTGTGCCCCTTAGCCATAACAGAAAGAATTTTCCTGAGCTGCTCTCTCTCATCATTTCATTATCATGGTCCTTGTTCGTTGAGTTCTGGTAGCAACCAGAACCCCTCACCATGATCTGCCGTCTTATGCAAGGTGCTGGACGCACAGTGTGAGAAAACTCTGTGTGCTCAAAATGCAAATTCAGAGCACAGCGATTCCTGTCCTCCTTCCTCAGGCAATGCTGCTAGGCGCTGCTTCTATCAAACCCTTTCTGTACGGTGAAAAGAAAGCGATTAGGCTCCTGAAAGGCTTATTTCATTAGGAGCTTTATTAATTTGTGTCACAGATATAAGCACAGGACCTTTGCCAGCAGCGATGGAGTGTTGGTTTTCTTAATGGGTAATAAAGCAATAAGCGCTGAAATGCATAAGTGCGTTAGACTGGGCTGAGCGGCCAGGCAATGATGAGAATGGTTGAGTGGCAAATGTCTCGATGAAGCATTAGCAAGGTCTGGCTGCGGTGTCACCAAACGTTTCAAGATCTGAGGTCGAGCTCTGATGCTAATGCATTAGGTGATTGTGATGCTGTCGCTGAGCTTGTAGTAACGTGAGCATAACATTGCACTGACGGATGCACTATGAGAGCTTGTTATGAGCAATGTGACCAGGGATGTTGATGGGAGAAGCTTACAGGTTAAGAAGTTTTTGATCTGAAACTGTTTTCCCAAGTTGAGATCTTGGGCATCCTTACTCATCTGATTCCAACCACACTGAGCAGATCTGAGTGGGAGAAGTGAGCGCAGCAGGCAGGGACAGCCAGTACTGTTTGCACCTCTCTTGCATTACGGTGACAACACCCTGTGGCATTTCCCTACAGGAAAGGGAAGCAGACATCTCTCCGCCCTGACAAGTTCATGCTGATCTGATCTCCGTGCAAGGTAGAATTCTATCCCTGAGGGTCTTCACCCTGTTGGGGAGCTCAGGACCCTGCAGCCTTCTCCTGCTCCTTTCGGTTGGTACCCAAGTGAAACAGAGCGGGAAGGCCAGAGAGGTGACACCATCCCAGCAGAGCTGCAGGAGGGTGCTCAGCAGGGTCCAGAGCAGGTATTGCAGGTGCTGTGACAGCACTGCAACTTAACCCTGTTAGCACCGATCAACCCTGTGTTCAGTTCCAGCTGCAGCACCGCCAGGGCTGCATCTGTAGCGAGAGGCTGCTCGAGTCTTTAGCCCAAAGGGGGATAAATCTGTACCTTAGATCATCACTACAGAGCAGACGTCCAGACTCCACTTCTGACTTGCTTGTCCCATGCAGGGCTGCTGCCAAGGGCCTTTCGCTCAGCCTGATGGAACGTCTCATCGAGAGGTACGGGGAGAAAGTTGTGAAGATGCTGACGGTGCAGTACCGGATGCACCAGGCCATCATGCAGTGGGCTTCCTCAGAGATGTACAGCGGCCGGCTCACTGCTCACCCATCCGTAGCCCAGCATTTGCTCAAGTAAGTGACTTGCTCTTCGCTGGTATAGGAGCAGAAATGTCTTTTTCATCCCATCGCATGCAGGGTTTGTCCATTCCCTTTGATGGGGTTTTCAATTCCTCCTGGCCCTGCGATAGCATTTCTGTTTCATCCTTCATTTCATTGAGGAAACAACAGAGGGAGGGCAAGGGGTGTCCTTTTTCCCATGTAACAGCCATGCAGAGTTATCTTCTGTTTTCTCCTTTGATATGATAACCAATGACATAAAATACCTTCGCACCTGGTGAAGAATATATGAAGGCCTGACCTGCAGTGGGCACACACAAGCAGCTTTTCCCTATCTCAAGCTCTCGTCGAGGGCAGGACCAGACACCAGGCACTTACTGTGTTCATACCCATGATGATGAGGGCCAGTGAGTGTCCCATCAGTCCCAAGATCAACATCCAAAAGGTCAGAAAGCAAGATTCCCTTTCCAGTTTGGGTAATTTTACTGCCAGGGCAGCACCTGAGGCAGGTCTGATGGCATCAGATCCATTCCTTCTCTGCAGTGGTTTCCCTTTTCTTTAGTAATTTAGAGGAAGCGACTGGGATTTCATTTCCACCGAGCCCTGGGACAGGCAGTTGTTTGCCAACACACGCTGTGACTGTCAATAATTGGTGCTTTTTAGAATTGCAGTCAGTGCAGTTCTGGGAGGCGGATGGGAAAACATTAATTTTCTCTGTTGGACTTGGAGAAGCATAAAATATCACAGCGCTTGCCTGCATGCTGCTCTTGTATTTTTAGCAATACTTTTCTTAAATGCAAATATTTAGGAGTTGGAAAACTTTATATTCCCCTAGAATCTGTTCATTTCAATGTAGATGCAGTTTTGGACAGAGATAGCTGGAGAGGCCACTTTATCATACCTGTTTCGAAATGATCTTACTTGTGAACAGTGAGAGCAATGCTACCTGACGGGAAGAGCAAGCTCTGTGTTTGAGCCAACCCCAGCACCCTCACCTCCGTCCGCTGCAGCCAGCACGGAGATTTCTGCTTGTGTCAGCACGCTCTGTTTGAAGGCTTCAGGGCTTTTGAGGATTCAGCTCAGCTTACATCAGTGAAGATGTGCTGACTTCTACCTTTGTTTCTAGACACATTTGTGTGTACATATGTAATCTGTAGGTGAGTGTGATGGGTTCTATAGGTAGGAGTAGGCAAGGCTGGTTCATTGGTGCCAGGAGGAGCTCAGCTGAGAGGGACAGGACTCACTCAGCAGTGTTTTAGCCATTTGGATCTAGTTCCAGGATCGGTGCTGTACAAAACCCTCTTCTCTTGTTCTTGTTCCTTGCTATGGTTGGTTTTGTTTTTTTTCCCAATTTAACTTTGCAAATTAAAAATAGCAACTAATGAAGAACCCCAGGCAAAATTATTTGAAACCATTAAAATAGGAAACCAATTGAAAAGCTGCAGTTAGGTGACTTTGTTATTCTGATGAGCTGGTTTCTTTTTGTAGCTGATGAAGGAAGGAGTGAATATTTTTCTTTCCAGTCCACAGTGCAGCTTAGTGCCCTGCTCAGGGCCTTTTCCTGCAGACACTGGTGTCTAAACCCGTCATCAGACCTGCCAGTCCGCAGCCCTACTGACGTGAATATAGCAATCCTCAGTGCAGGCACTGCACCACGTAAAGTGTCTGTGCTTCTGTCTGATCTTCTCATGTTCAGGTTGCTTGTACAAATTCCTTCATGATATCTGTGAGCATCTTGTGTGTTTTGTTGGCTTAGGCCAAATGATTTGCTTAATCCCTTACCTGAGCAAGAAATAAGTAACTTTTATTCTCTGATAGTTCTAGGGAAAGCTTTCTTATAAGCAGAAGCATCCTAGGGAAGTGGAAGGCTAATGAGTGCCCACAGGAGTTACCTGCTTGTACTGGGAAGCAGCCAAAGCCTGGGCTGCAGCTGCATTTGCAGCAACAGCATTTGACAAACTAGCTCTGTAGCTTTCTGTTACCTCCTTCCTAAGGGCTGGTGGGTGATGAGCGAGAAGCCTGAAGAGTCTCAAATGACAGTGCAAGAAGGGGGACCTTCATCTCTGCTGAAGGCATTTTGAGGTCTTCCTTTGAAGAAAGATCTGACTGGAGTGAGCCAGCCCCTGGTAGAGCCAGCCCATACGTTTGTATTCCAGCTGTGAATTTGCAATGATCTCGGTGCCCTTTTGAGAGGTAAAGTTCAAACAAGCACATCCCAGTCTTGAGATGTACGGCTGGGAGGAGGCGCAGGCACAAACACCTTGTGTGACAAATTGTGGCAGAGAGTTTTTTGGTCCAGCTCCAGTTCTAAAGCCTGCTATCTGTGGGCTTTTATTCAGAACCACTCTCCAGGGTACAATCCCCAATGTCTGATAGCAAGGCTGCACTCCCACCACGGCTTTTCCCTGAACAGTGTTGTTGGTACAAGTCTCATCTACTTTACCTGAAGCACAAAGATTTGTCTTTGAAAAAAGAAGTGCGGCTCTGCTCCAAGTGACTTCATATTTCCTTACCAACTTCTGCTCTGGCAGTGGAGGCATTCGGGAACGTTTGGTCTGTGATTTGTTAGAGATTTCTGCAGCACCATCTTTTCTCATAAAAGGGTACTTTAGCTTTCTGTGGCATCTTTTTGAGGGCAAGTATTTCCAAGGGAGCAAAACCTTCTTCCCAAATCTTCCCTTCTTTCTGAAATGGGTGATGAAGCACATCAGAAACCCCCACACATCTCCAGAATTAAGTCAGGGAGGCTGCAAGCAGTACTTTTCACATTCAAAATTTGTGACTCAGTCTGTCAGAAGATGGTATGAATATCACCAGCTGTTTCTGCTGTCAGTTTTTATTCAAGTACAGTGTCAGGTGTCCCTTCCCTTAGCACCTTTTTTTGGGCTAACACGCCCTTGCTGATGGGGAATATGGGGGAACCTCCACAGTAGAGTGAGACCTGGAAGATGCTCAGAAGCCAGAATGCCCCTCGCTGCGACGTGCAAGCACCCAGCTGGGATCATCTCCTCCCAGACAAAGCACAGGGTGCCTGGATGCTCTAGGGCCCTGTGTTGAGCCTGGATCCAGTGTCTGGCTGCAGGGACAACCTGGTTTGTCATCACAGACCAAGAATCTCTCCAGGAACAAGAATCCATCTCTGCAGCTTGGGCAAGTTCACAGCAAGTGGGAGAAGTGCCTTTCCCCTTCATCCTGAAGCAATAGCAAAGCACTGGACAGCTTTTCTCCCAGGTAAGAGCCAGTTCTGCTGCAGTCTCACTGCCTGGGAAGAGCATGAATTCCTCTCTCACCTGACAGATCTATGTAGATAATTATTCCTCCGAAGCAACGTTCCCAGGATTGAGACTTTTCCTGCAGTGAGAGATGCAGCAAGGGCTTTCCATGGCCACTGCCATGGACAAAGAATTGAGGTTGTCTACATGGAGAACTTGGCTTTTACTCAAAGTCTTTTGTGTGCACAGACATGGACAGTGGTAGGACAGTCAGCAGGGCAGATATAAAGGAGATGGCAAGGCTGTTAGGTTTGATGTTACAAAGAAAGGGAGGTAAACCTGTCGTACCCTCCACAGGGGAGGAAATGCTCTGATGGGGAACTGGAGGCGGCCCCATTCTGGAGGAGTGGAAAAGTAAGTTGGGTGCTGGTCCCTATGGTCCTTGGAAATGGGGAAGGTACCTTGTGCCTCTATTCAAATCCAGTCACTGGACTGAGGCAGCCAGTCCTCAAAGCCAGGGAAGGGCTCATCCTCTGGGCTCTGGTTTGCCATTGGGCTGTGGAAGGTGCATCCTGGACTCTTCTGCAGGGGCTTTGTCCCCTGTCATAGCTGCTCTGATCTCTGTATGTTCCCAGCCGTGCATCACAACAGCAATAGCTTCAGACTGGAGAAAAATGAGTTTAAGGCAAGAGAGGAGGCTTCTGTTGTCATTGAGTGAGTAATGCCCACAGTCCATGGGAAGCAAGGGTACTCGGTGGCATACAAATGCAGAGGAACAGACGTGCAGTGCCCGGAGTCCTGGGAAGCAGAGGCTGCAGCTGGGGGCTTGTCTGGAACTGGAAACTGCCTTTACCCTCACTTGCCTGCCTGTCATTTGGAGGTAATCCTCCTTTTTGATGGCTTGTCTTGTTTATCTCCAGGCTCCCTGGAGTCACAGCTCTCTCTGATTTGTACGTGATGTACAATAAAATGTCATTGTTTCACAGCACTCCTGCCATCTCCAGACTTTCTGTTCCTGTCCTCCATCCCCTGTCCTCTTCCTAGGCTCTGAATTCAGCTAGCACCTTCCTTGGGTATTAAAGCAGGGTTTATTAATTATTTTTTTGAATGCAGCAGCTTTAGATGTAGAAATGCTGTGAAACCCCAATTCCTCTGTGGTTCCTTGTGCTGCGCTTTCTTCTCTTGCCTGACAGCACTGCTGTCAAATCTCTGGTAATACTTCAGGAACTCCTTCGCCCTCTGAACACTGCAAAAAGCAGAAAACAGCTGCCACATCTCCCTAGGTCTGCATATCTTCCCTGTTTGAGACCATTTATATGAGACACCAACGCCCACACACTGTACCCTTGCCTTGCAGTGCTGGGCTGTGTAGTGTAGCTGGTGAGAAAGCTCTCAGTGCTGCTGACTGCCCCCTGTGAAACTCTCTGTGCCCCTCAGCTCTTCGTTTGCATTTTGGGAGAGCATTTACGTGGCAATCCCGTGGTGCAGAGCAATAATGGCTTTTCAGCTATGGCTTCCTGGCGTTGCCAAACTCCCCTGGGGCTCTCTTGCTTAAGGGTCTTGCTCTGCTTGATCTTCAGTAGCATCACTGCAGATGCAAAGGGGACCAAAGCTTGGTGGAGCAGGAAGGGAGGAACCTCCATTCTCAGTTTCTGTTATTCTTCACCTTCAGAGCCAATCTTCCTCATTTTCATGCAGTATGACACAGCTCTTGGTCTCTAGCCTTGTCCCTCAGAAGCAATATCCAGCTATGTTTTCCCTCTGTCCTTGCGGTGTTGTTGGGAGGAGTAAGCAACCACACAAATGATCATCCCTTTGGCATAATTTCAGCGTTGTTAACTAGTCCTTTTTCCCCCCAATACTTCGTGCAGGGACCTGCCAGGCGTCACCTCTACAGAAGAGACTGCAATTCCCTTATTGCTCATAGACACTGCTGGCTGTGGCCTGTTTGAGCTGGAAGTGGAAGATGAGCAGTCCAAGGGGAATCCAGGTAGGACAGTTTGGAAAAGTTTGGTTGGCTTTATGGCTGTTCTCCATGAATTTTCTTCAGACATTGAGTTTCCTGCTGGTTTTTGACTTAAAAAATAGGTTTCATGGTGAAGGTTGAGTCTAAAGCCAGGCTCCAATCTAGTAAAACGGGAAAACTTTGACAGTGGTCATGCTCCCTCCTTTGTATCTTTGCTTCCACAGCGGGGCGGCTGGTTGTGGTTTGTTGTCCAAGGATGCTACTCCTGCTCCTCTGGGTTTAGTCTGGCCTCTCCACGCCTGCTTGTCTAGTCCTTCACTCTCACACGGCCAAAGAGCTTATTTGGCAACGTGGCTCCCTGCTTCAGGGATTCATTTGTTTTCCTCTCTGCTCATCAGTGCAGATCTAATGCCAGCAACAGATTTCTGAGGCTGCAGGTCCCTCTCTGACAAGACAAAGAAAATGGACTGTAAAACACAAGAACAGTTTTTACCAGTTTAAACATCTTTTGCCTTCTTTGGTTTGAAAACCCACCAGTGTTTTAAGTGCCTCTTGTTTTTCCGCGCACCAGTCCCCATGGCCCTGCTGAGCAGAAAAAGGCTGTTGTCCCCAAATGGAAATTCACAAAGACTTAGCTGAGATAAATCAGGGATTTTGGGCAGGGGATAAATGCACATCTCCCAGAATTTGGGAGGCAGCCTTTTGGAGCAGCATACTGCAGATTCTGGGTTTTTTTACCTGCATTTTCCTGCAAAACAGAGGGTAAAGTCAGTCCAGCCAATAAACCAATGAAACAGTTCACGTTTGTGTTTAACTTGTCCTCATTAGATCTCTCTGAACCAGCCACCATCTGAGCACATGGATCTGAATATGGAGCTTGTTTATTTGGTCATAGGAGTTTAGAAATGCAGGGACTTGAAAAAAAGCAGACTGAAAAGGAAAGGTGGAGGTTTCTTCCAGTTGCAGTGTAGAGAATTGAATTTTTAGTGAGGTCGAGAGTCTCACTTCAATAGAATCATCTATTGCCTGGATTATCACTGATCTCTTGAATTAGTATGGGAAGGCCAGAGAAAGCCACGTGCTGTTCAGAAATCTCTTAAGCTTAAGCGAGCTGGTGACTTGGCAAGGCAAGAGGCAAGTGTAGCTTGCAGCCCTGGGAATGGGGCTGTGTAGCACATCAGGGTCTAACCAAGCAAGCCAGGTTGGGAATTGTTAGCCCCGTGCAGCCCTGGACTGCAGGCAGGACTTGCCTTAGACTTTCCTTGCTGTTTAAAGGCAGGTGGGCAAATTTCTCTAAGCCACAGTATGTCCATGCTGGCAGCTTCATCCTCTGCCTGCCAGCCTGTTCCCATCACCACCCCTTCTGCTTTCTGCTGCAGGGGAGGTGCAGCTGGCTGGTTTGCACATCCAAGCCTTGGTGGAAGCTGGTGTGAAGGCACGAGACATCGCTGTTGTAGCCCCCTACAACCTCCAGGTGAGACGGCCCTCTCCTGGCATCTCCTCCCTCTTTCCACTTGCACACAGAGTGGATTCAAACGCACAGAAGTGGGTTCAAACACTGACATACTTACTCAGGAGCGATACCAGAATGTCCCCAGAGAGATGAAGCTGGAAGTCAGCAGAACCAAATTGTACAGTCAGTATTTGTGGCCAACTTCTCCACGTTTAAGCAGCTTAAGGCCACGGAGGGAAGAGCTGTTAGTTGGGTATTTTCCACTCCCAGCCTCAGGAGTTGGCTCTTGACCTTTGGGAAATGTGAGCACTTCATCCTTGTGGGTTTGAGAGGAAGGAACTTTACCAGAACACTGCCGTTTTAATCCTTTTCACCTTGGCTTTTCTATAAAAAATACCTGTCACGTGTTTTTCAGGTGGACATGTTAAGAGAGCACCTCTGCCACAGGTACCCAGAGCTAGAAATTAAATCAGTTGATGGTTTCCAAGGAAGAGAGAAAGAAGCAGTGATCCTGTCGTTCGTCAGATCCAACCGGAGAGGTAAGAGTTCACTGCTGGAGAGTTACTGCACGGGGAATGAGAAGGACCTGGGAACTGTGTGATTGCTCAAAGGTCGCTTGTCACGTTGCCAAGTGCTGAGGTTTAATTGCAGTTCTGATGGTCTCGAACACTTTCCTCTGAATGAATTTACTGGCAAGACCCTTCCTTTTCAGCCTCTTTTATTTTTAATGTATGACTATATTTGCTGTCACAGTTGCCAGAGGGCTCCCATGATAGGTAGCAGGTTAAAAGGAAGCCGGGACCGCTTAGTTTGAAGGTTTCCCAGCTATCGAGGCCTCACGAATTATTTAAACTGGGGTCCTAAGAATGGCATATGTCAGCTTAGCACCACGTTTACCGGAGTGCCGAGCACTTCCTGCAAAAGGTGAACATTCGGGGCTTATTTCTTGGGTTTGGAGCCTATTTTGCATCATTCCCTTAAGAAAGCAAGCAGGAGCTGGCATTACAAGTCACACACGGAAAATGCTGCTTTTGAGAGCAGAATCTAGAGCGGAAAATCGAGTTCTTTCCTATCAGCAACTGCGACGAAAGTTAATAGCTGGAAAAAAAGCTGCTGCCCTAGAGGCGTGAGGCTCCTTCGGCAGAGCCATCGGCCCGTGCTGAAGGGTTTTGTGACAGCCAGCCCGAGCTGAGGGCATGAGTGGGACCACTCTGTGCACCACCTCCCTCCCGTGCGTGGATCACTGCCCTTTTCAAACCCGCAGTGAGACATCCCGTGCTGCGCTGCCTTCGCTGGCGATGCTGCTGACGATGAAACGCTGTGTGTGTGTGCTGGGAGTGCTGATGTCTAGAAGAGAAAAAAGTAAAAAAAGGGAAAGGGTGCGTTGGAAGGAGGAGGCCTCTGTTTTTTTTTAAGAAAGCCTAGAGCAAGAAAAGCAGCGTTGGGGGGAGAATGGAGGTGGGGGACGGGACTAAGAATAGGCCTTGTTCACGAGTGACTCACCTCGCCTTTGTTCAGTGGGAGCTGGTGTCCTCCATGAAGGCGTGCGTCCCCCGGCCCCCTTCCCGTGCACAGCCAGCAGCCAGAGCTCAGGTGTGGTGCAGGGATCACTTGCTTTCCTGGGAGCACAAGGCAGCTTCTTGTGGTGCCTGAGCACGGCTCTGATCTGCGTGGGGCAGGAGAGATGTTGTTAGCACCCTCTGAGACCCTGGGGAGCAATGCAGACCCTTTTAGCAGTTGCTTTCCTCAGCTCAGAGGATGCCAGGGACCTTGACCAGCAGTGCCTGTCCCTCTGCAGCCATTTCCAATCCGGCAAGAAACTCTCTTGCTGGATCAGAGGAGTTGAATTTGCTCTTGCAATCAGGCAAAACCACATCAGAGAAACTGAAAATCCTTCTCTGAGCTGCAGAGCACAGAGAGTTCCTCAAAGGCAGCACAGACTTAGGCTGCTCAGCCCTGGCAAGGCAAGGCAGAAACAGAGCTAGGCTGGTCACTGCACCGATGGAGACATTAATCGCATCCCGACCGGCCTCCTCTTTATCCCCAGGAGCTGGAAACTCCAAAGCCGCCCACGCTACCCTTCTCGCTAGCTGATCCTCACTGAGTCATCTTGGCATTTGCTCACTCTTACTGCTTTTCTTTGAGGGAATAGCCGGAGAGCAGAAGCAAAGGTCGTAGAGTTGCCTAAATGGCTGTTACTTTAAACCCCACAAGAGTCTGGGGGTAAGTGGAGTGAGTTGTATAGGGCAGGGTGTATTTCTTTACCTGCAGTTCCTCTTCTGTCGCAAGGTGAGCCTCATCCACGTTGCCCTGTATTGCATTTGCTCCCAGATCCCAGCCTGATCTTGTGCTATGGGTCACCCAGGAAAATATTTCTCCTCCCTGAGTGCCATCCATCCTCCTCCCGACCCCAGGAGCTGAGTGGGGAGCCCTGGCTTTGGCTTGTGGCTGGTAAAACAGGGGCAGAAAGATGAAAGTAACAGCGTAAGTCAGGGACCAGAGCTCATTAAATGCTGACTCCCACCCTTCAGCCGAGCAACCCTTCAATTGTTTGGGCCAAATCTAGACCTGGAGCCAGTCCTGCACCCACTGACAGCCCCTTGGTTTTTGTTTTCTCACAGGCGAGGTGGGCTTTCTCGCTGAAGACCGACGGATAAACGTGGCGGTGACCCGCGCCCGGCGCCACGTGGCTGTCGTCTGCGACACCCGCACCGTCAGCAACCAGGCCTTTCTGAAGCGGCTGGTGGATTATTTCAGCCAGCACGGGGAGGTACGCACGGCCTTCGAGTACCTCGACGACCTCGTGCCCGAAAACTACACTCAGGAGGGCTGCGGGGAGCGGCAGCAGGGTGCAAAGCACCCCGCAGCATCTGGCCCCAAACCGCAGCTGCCTCCGGGGAGGAAACTCAAAGCATCAGCAACCAAACCCGAGTGTCAGAAGCCAGAAGTGTGTCCGTCCCCAAATGCAAGCGGACCTGGAGGAGAAAGCGTGGGGACAAAAGTCAGTGCTGACAGATTCAAGGCCATGCTGGTGGCCTTCCTGGAGAGCAGTGAGATGCAGTTGGATTTCCCCCCATCCCTCAATTCTCACGATCGGATGCTGGTTCACCTCATGGCAGAGGAGTTCGGGTTGCAGCACGTGAGCACCGGCAAAGGGAGGGATCGGTACATCAGCGTTCGCAAGGAAGAGCCTGCCGAGCCTTCGCTGCCTGCAGCTGCCCCTTCCAGCAAGCAGCTTCCCCTTCCTCAGTCACAGCATCCCAGCAGGGACACTCCTGTCCCAGCTGAGCCAGGAGGAAGCAGCAAGGGCTCAGGAAAAGTGGACCTGAAAGCCCTGCACTTGGAGAGAGTTCAGAGGGAAAAAGCCAGACGGGAGGAGGCAGTGAGGAAGGCTCAGAAGCCCGGTGCCAGCCTTCAGGGCAGCAGCAGGAAAAAAGGCAAAAGTGAAGCCAAAGGTAGGTTGCTCTTTGTAACCAGCACAGTTAGTGCTCTTCCTTGAGTGGATCGTGCTACTTGGTTCCCATGTTTTTGCCTCCAGGCCTTGGGATTTGTCTGTGTGCGCGTGGCGCATGGGATGTGTCTCTTGGCAAGCTTTCTGATGCTTGTCACTGCAGAGGTGTGAGAAACTGGCAGGAGCGCTCATCAGTTGGCTGCAGCATCTGGGGAAGAGGGGATTTGAATGCCTGGAGGCACATTTCTTAAGTCAAAAACATTGGGGACCCTTTCCCAGAAAGAGAGGCTCAGGAGATAGATATGGGGCTCCAAAATGTAGGGAGAGGAACTGAGAGGGATACCTGGCCCACATCAAAGGATGAGGCTGCCACCTAGAAGTGGAGGCAGGGGAAAACAGAGCCAGAAGTCCCAGACATGGTCCTTTCCTCTTCCCCAGCAGCCTTGTAGCAGAGGAAGGCACCCAGGCATTCCAGGTGGGAACCTTGAGCTCCTCCTAATGCCTCTGAGCACAGGCCAGAGTTTACTGGCACAGCAGGTCTCACAGGGGCTGCAATCCCTGTTGCTGTGAACAGCAACTCTCCAGACCCGTGCTGCTTGGCTCTAGCCAGGGCTGGAGCTGCAGGTTGCTTGGGTTTGTTCTCCACTTCCAATCAGGTGGTTAAATGTCCACGTCTCTTCCAGGAAAGCCAGCAGTTAAGAGTGGAGCAGACAGCGTGGCAGAAGATATCGATGCTCTGATTTCTGCTGCCATTAAAGCTGACAGCACCTGCGGTTTCCCCCGCTGCAAAGCCAGTGTTACAACCCTGGGACAGCTTTGCCTCCACTGCAACAGGCGCTACTGCCTCAGCCATCACATCCCGGAGGTACGCGAGGGGCCGGGCAGCCTGCTCAGGGCCTTGAGCACCGAGGGGGTTGGCGAGGAGCAGGATGTGGCAGGCAGCATGGGTTTAACATGGGGATGTTCCCTGCTGAGCTCCCCAGGCAGGATTTCCATGCAAGGAGTTTAAAGCAGGACCCTCTCTGTCGGGGCTTATGCTGGAGCTGCAGGTAGAAAGGGCTGCAGGCATTAACACGTGGGCTCTGCACGCTTCCTCCTGAGAGCTTTTTCTTCTTTTCTCTGTTGCTTTGTGCCTGTCTTTACCATTCTCTGGCACTTACACTCCCAGGTCATGCAGATAAAGCAAGGCAGAGAGGAGAAATGAAGAAAGTTAGGCTTGAGGGAGCCTGGACACTCGATTCCCAGCTCTTTGCAGCTTCCCTCTGCAGCCTGGGGACAAGTCAAGGCTTGAGCAGTGCTGCATGCCTGGTTAGGAGTCGAGGATTTCCTTAAGTGTCTCACTGTCTTGGAGTGGAGTTGCTCTACACTGCACAGCCTCACCTTGAGCTCCCATCCGTGCCTGGGTGACAGCAGTTCCTCAGCCTCCTCTGCTCTGCTTTCTTGTGGTGGAAGACTCTCGAGCAGGCATCTCAACAGCACCTCCAGGGGAGTGTGATGGCCTCAGAACCAGCAGCTTCTTCCTTGCTCTTCTTCTATAGCTGCTTGGCAGCCCTTTCCTCCCCACATCTCAGAAGGAAGGAAACTAAGGTTGAACTGTGTCAGGCTTCATCTTTCTGTTCAGGAGGCAGCTGGGTAGGTTTAAGCCTCCGGGGTTGACTGTGTGATGCTTCTTGGTAAGGGGTTTGAGCCCTGTGGGCAGAGCTGACATGGCTGAGTGGTGGCTGTGATGAGTATCTGGGCTGAGAGGTGATGACTTTCCATGCAGCTGCAGCCTCCTGTGCCTGTTGTCTCTCATCCTGCAGCTGCCGGGCATCGCTCTTGGCTGCATGTAACCTCCCAGAGCTTAGCAACATTTAGTGAGCTGACCTATCAATCCTCAGCATAGATTTTTTCCCCTTTGTCAAGTGCTATCTGTTTCCATGGCAAAAAAATAGTTGTGTCTGTGGTCATTCACAATTCAGTAGGGATAGAATTTTGTTTCCTGCAGAATCGCCTCTCCCTGCTGAATTGTGATGAGGGCTCCAATGAGAAACAATTGGAAGGATAAAAAATCCATGTCACTGAGTTTTTTCTTGCTTTTTTTTTTTTAAAGTTCAGCCCTTTTCCCAGATGTTATCAGGTGTGAAAGAGCCTGGGATGTTCTGCCCCAGCCTGGCCCTGATTACTGCCCATTGTAAAGTTGGTTTGGGGGTGTCTGTTAGCTACGGCTGGCTAAGATTGGGCAGCAGGCTCAGAAACCCCAGTCCCGGCTCAGAGCTGGATGCTGTGCATGGTTATATGGACAGGAGGATTTGTAACAGCACTGAAGGCTGGGATCACAGAATCACAGAATCGCTTGGTTGG